TTATAAAGGACAAATAATTCAGAAATGATGAATTTTTCGGTTTCTTTCATTATACGCAGTGAAATTGCTAACATTGTTAGCATTACTATACCAACAAGGTGTACAGCGCTTTATTAATTCATATTTCAGGGCAATTTGAGTGATCCCTATTTTTGATCCAACAACCAATAGTTATTCCGATAAATCTAAAGCGAGGATTTTTAATGCCATAAGAATATCGCAAACTCGAGATCTATCGTCAAAGTTTTACCATTAGTTTTTCGAGACACTTTAATTATTTGAATTCTAAATATGAACTAGAGACTCATCAAGAATTATTATATTGACTTTTACTATTACAGGACTATAGATTTATTGAAGGAGTTTTCTATAGTTGTTCTGGATCCGAATTCGGTTTATTAAAGGGAGATTTACTATAATTGTTCTGGATCCGAATTCGGGTTTTATAAAAAATAGAATACGATCATGAGGTCCAAAATTTGGGGAGTTTTTTAGGGATCAACTAATTTTTCGTGAGGAATTAACAAAACTTCTAATTTCATCAGAATCAAACTTACAGTTTTATTATATACCGCAGAAGAAAAGGTCCCTAATTCCTAATCAATAAATAATAAATCACAATTCATCATCATCATACGCACGGTGTTGGTTCAGTTACTTGATTCTTTTCCAACATTTTTCTCTGACCATTGTAATAAAATACAATAGTTAATTATTAATAATAAAAATACCTAAAGACTCCGAAGATGAGTGGTAAGTATATAGACAGCACAAAAACTATTAAAACTGCCACGTTTATATTTCCCTATATTTTTGCGTGCCTTTTGTTTCCTCCCAATACACCTGTCGAGTTCGGACCGGTGTCTTCGTGCACCCCACCACCCCAACATTTTCTTCCTTTGCCTTCGTCTTACTTTATAATACACGCACACCTCCAAATATTTTACATACCTAATACTTTCCGACTCGGCTCAGCTTAAAAACTAGTTTATAAAAGCACTATATATACTATTTTTTACATTTTTATTATGCTTTATAAGAAAATTCCCCCTCGAATCATCTACTGCGTTATGAGAACGCGCTTTACCCAAAAAAAGATTGTGTTGCTTTCGCACGCGTAATTACTATGTTTGCAGCGGGAAACTTGCACCTTTTGAACCTTACACTTTACAGAGAATATTAAGTATGTATTGGCTCGCGTATATCGTGTTCTAACAACTTTTTTTGTGTTTTTTTTCTTCTGCACTTTTAGTCTCTTCGGATTTCAAGGAGATTGATCCCGAACTTTACGGCTTGCGGCGATCTACTAGGCAGAAGCCTCAAAAAGTCAACTATAAGGTAGCTTTTTTATCCGTTGCTTGTTTATTACGTTTTCATTATCATCTAAAGCTTTTTTTTCTTTTCGCATACATATACAGCAAACGTCATCTTCGGAAGATGATTTGCAAACAGACTTCGACTCGGAGATTGAGTCAAAAAAACGCAAGAAAAACGGAAGAAGAGTCCAAATCTCTCGCAAAAAAACAGGCGTCGAAGCTGGTACGTCATCTTCACTTTCTTTTCCCTTGGACTTGCATCCTCATCAATCATCAAAACACTTTTGTGATTTTGATGATAGTAAAGATTACTATAATTCTTTGACTTGTAGCAATCAATACACTCACCACAACTTATAACACACTTCTCCATCCATACCCAATAGGCTCTTGGTCTGAAGAGGAGGAAGAATCTCAAAATTCTACTGATGAGATTTCTGACACATCAGGAGACAGCGACGACTCTGATTTTGTAAAAAGCAAAAAGGCAAAGACCAAGCGACAAACTAATAACCTAAAATATACACGATCTAATGGAAATGACGAGGATGCTTGGGGAGCATCGTCAAGTGCTATAGTAACAACAAGGCGAAGAAATAATACCTCAGCAAATGCATACGACGATTCTGACTCCTCAAGAAACAGATATTCTCGACGGACAAGGACTGTGACAAACTACAGTGAAGACCTTATTGACAAACAATTAAGAGAATACGAGGAGGAAGATGAAGAGCAATACGTGGCAAGTACTCCCAATGTGGAAGAAGAAGGTAATGATTGACATAAACTTAAAGCTATTGCACTTTCATTATAGTCATGTACTTCTAAAGAACACACAACCCAATAATGGATAATAATACTCTTGTATGTAAATATTTTGTTTTTATTTTTCTCTTATAGCTCCCTCATACCAGATCGATCTTATTGCGGACTTCAGACGTATGGAAGAATCCGATCCAAATGAAACTGACGATCCAAAGACCAACATGCTATATATGATAAAATGGACTGGATTCAGTCATCTTCACAACACATGGGAGACTTACGAAGACCTAAAAGGTATCAAAGGATTTAAGAAGCTCGAGAATTATATCAAGAAGGCGCAGGAGGGTCTAATACAACATCTTGAAGGTACACTTGAAGAATATACTACAGTTGAAC